CGCCCCCACCCCCCACCTCAAGTGCTACAATTCATCTGCTGTTGTGTGTATATATATAGCCTTTTCTGCCCTTAGGCCATCCAATATCTCTGCCTACTGCTGAGAATTGTTATAAATATTTGTTATTCTTCTGACATCCAGGCAACCAAAATAGTTTTCTAAATGTGGCAAGGTCTCTGCAGTTTGATAGCATCACTCAGTGATGGGCAAACAAGACTGTTATTAATCTGTGTCCAATTTCAGAACATAGAGGACAACATGTATATAACAAGGAAAGGGTAATTAAAAGAGGAGGCCATGTCTTCAAAATTCCTTAAGTTTTATAACCTGTCAGAACTTTTAGTGTATTAACATATTAATATTCAAAAAGCTCCAATAGACCAGCATTAACTTTCTGACTCCAGCATTACAAGAAAAATTATTAGTTAAGAATAAAACTCTGAAGTTTCTCTTTTAAGTGTGCGGGCACTCTGCTACCAGCTGCTTTCAAAAGCCATGTGCACAGAATCTCTGTGCTTCTCCTGCACTAGGTATTAATATTTTATGCCCATTAAAGGCTTTTATTTTTTCAAAGCCCAAATTTCCAAGTGTGTGTGCTTCAAGTTAGGCACCTAAATCCATATTTATGGGGCTTGCAGCAAAGCAGCTGGGTCTTCAGAAGAGCTTGGCAATGATGGAACTGGCTTAATCAAGAACCACAAGGTCTAAGTACTCCAGAAACATTCAGGCCAGTTGCATACATGCAAGTGTTTAACTTCCTTACCCTCTGCTTACAACCCTTTTTGTTGTAAACGTAACCACGCAAAAATGAACTGACACTAATTGCATTCTAAATCTGTACAGAGACTGAAAAACTGAATGTCAGGCAGAAGCAAGACTGCCCCTCTTCATCTCAGAGTCTTAATCCTGGAGCTAGATGAAATTAGATATATTTTCATTAACGATTTCACTGATACCCACTTTGGAAGAAATAACTGGCTAGTAGGCTTACCCAAAGTAGTTCAATCAATCTGAAAGGCTAATGCCTTTTACAGAAGTAAGCATGCAAGAATCTAAGGCAAAAAGAATGGATTATTCACTGTACTACAATAGCATCCAAAATGTGACAGGTGCTTTGCACAGAAAAGGAGTAATAATACCCAGCACAAACAGCTTACTATTGATTTTACTTTGATCTGCATGGGTGACTGGTGCTTCCTAATACTGGGGGGCACCAGTGGCTGATTGCCAACGGGGGGCTGGGGGGTCCAGAAGTGCTGCCAGTGCTTCTCTTGGGGGAGGGGGGGCACGGCCAATCTCAAGGGGTGCACATGCACCCCCTACACGTTGCCAATCATCTGCAACACAGGGCTGTGCTGGGCTAGAAAAAAACAAATTTTAGGTAGGGGTGCACCAATAAAGATTTTTTGGGCCAATACTGATGACTGATTATTAACGAGCAATATTGGCTAATACCAATTCAATTGCCAATACGCAGCCTGGAAGATTGGAGAGCAGCATCTGGCTGGTAAGTCTGTTGGCGGGAAGTGGGGGGAGAGAAGGGGCGAGGAAAGGGGAGTAGATTGAGGCCCCTGTGGTGAGGGAGGGAGTGGGGTTGCGGCAGGTGCTGCCCAGCTGGGAACAGGGTACAGGACGGAACCATGAGTGGCTTGAAAGACAGGGGGGCAGCTCCCGCCACTGCATGCACCCCTGGGGGGGCATGTGCCCCCCAGATTTGTGCACAGGGCAAGGGGCAGGCTGGAGCCAGGGGCAATGCCAGGCTCTTCCCATGGGGGTGCTGAGCTTAGGGCATGTGGTGGCAGCACTGGGAGAGGGGCTACGGTGAATTTTGCAGTGGCTGTAGACCACCCTGTAGCCCACCTCCTGTGCCTGTGCCAGCACTGCCCACCCCAAATCCAGCTCTGGCCCAACACCCCCCCCCACCGGGAAGAGCCCAGCTTTGCCCCCCCAGCTCCAGCCTGCAGCAGTAGCTTGCCCTCATGCTGCACACAGATTGGGGGGGCATGTGCCCCCCCCCCAGGGGTGTGCGCAGCAGCAGGAGTCGCCCCCCACAACTGCTCATGGCTCTGCCCCCTGCCCCGGCTGGGCAGCACCTCCCCAGCCCCAGTTCTACTCTCTCCCTTACCGTGGTACCCTCGATCTGCCCCTCACGACTTACCAGCCAGACACTGGTCTCCAGGCGGCTGGGCTGGCTGCGTGCATGCTGTGGCTGCACACATGCATGCAGCATTTAACCAGTAACATTAATAGGCCACATCAGCCAAAAAAAGCTGATTACTGATAATGTCAATTTTCCTTTTATCGTTGCCAATACAGTATGGACCGATGTATCGGTGCACCTCTAATTTGAGGGGCAGAAATTTGCATAAGAACCCAGAAAGAGAAAGGGAGAACTCAGAATAATAAAGAGTTATTCAAAATAATGTAGTGAATTTACTATGTAGTATTAGAAAAATCACACACACAGTGGTTTCTCCGGATCTGCAGAATCTAAGGCCATTTTTCCAGCTCTCCTGGGACTGTATAAATCATACTATTATAATGTTGCATGAACCTGCCTCTATCAGCCAACAGTGCTGTGCTGGCTATGTACTTGCTAAAATTTTCAACCAAGGACCTTTACTTCTCTCCTACTCTGACAGCCCATTTGGGAGGAGCCCCCACAAATGGCTGCGAAGCTACTTCATAACACTTTGTAAAATCCTTCCTTACAAACAATACTCTGCTCTTCCCAGAGGCTTACCACAATACTTGATAATAATTAGGCAATGGTCACAAGACACCCACTTGTCTCCACTATCTCATTGTTATGGTACGTTCCCATGGCCATTGCACCCATCTTGTATGTTTAATCTTAGTTCAGAAGTACCTCTCTGTTTCTGTTGTGCCAGTGCACTGCCCAGCATAGTAAAACCCACATCTGTGGCAGACACTCTCCAGGACTACATATAATCATAATTCTTATTACTTATGGTAGTTGTCAAGACGAATCTCTTAGCACAGTTTCTTAGATCTCATCTTAACTTTGGGAGGTTGGCCTAACCCGGTGTTACTGGATGTAGGGGGAGAAGCTGGTTCTTCCTATAATACTTAGCTAAGTAGAGGATGTCATTGGCTCAAAGGGTTCAAGAGAGGTCTTTCTGCTTGGGGGCTGGTCTGTACTACAGGGGTCCTGCCACAACAGCTATATCAGAGTAGCTATGATGACAGAGTGCAGACTCAGTAAAGGGGCTTCTCCAAACAGCAGACACCCTCTTCTATCAGCATGTGGCACGTGGTCTTACAAGGCAGATGAAATCCATGCATCTCTTTATGAACAATCACAGCTGCATGTTATCCTTTTCCATGCATTGACAGTAAAAAAATATAATATACTTGTGATGTTTTACCTCTTACAGCTTAACCTCCCACTGAGATTAGGGAATCACACACCAAGAACCCACTGACTACTCATTAGAAACTGGACCAATCTCATTTGGATCTAGATCAGGGTGGGCAAAATATGGGCCGTGGGCCAGATCCAGCTCACCAGGCACTTTCATCTGGCCTGCGGAGCCCCATAACGAATTGTGCCCCAGCCCTTGCACCCGCAGGGGTGGGAGCGAGGCACCTACACCACCTGGACAAGCTACTCACCACTCCATCCCGCTCCAGCTGGGCAGTGCCTGCCCCTGCCCCAGCCCCAGCTCCACTCCCTACCTCACTGTGGGTACCTTGATCTGCCTCCCCCATACAATGCTTCTCCCATGCCCCGCTTCCCCCCGCCCCCCCCCCAAAAAAAGGCTTACCAGATGGATACTGCTCTCCAAGCTACTGGGCTTTCATATCAGCAACTGGATCAGCATCGGCCAATATGGCTCATTAATAATTGGCCATCAATATTGGCCCAAAATATCTTTATCGGTGCACCCCTAATTTTAACTTTCTTGAAGTTCAGGTTTGGTTTTAAGGACTGTGTGTCAGTTGTGTTAAACCCAAACTGTCTAAAGTTCAGGTACATTTAATCTAGGGTTTGCTTTAGGTCAATCTTAATACCTAACCTTCAAACACACACACACTCCATTTAAAGACTCACATGTTTGATGCATTAAATATAAAATCAGTTTGGCAACACTGTGGATTTTAGATTGAGATTGTGTGTGAAATGACAGTATGTGGTAGATTTACGAGATTTACTAAATCCAATAAGTACTCACCTGTTTGGCTGCTGAAGAAGAAATGACTCCTCTCTCTAGGAGATTCAGAAGGTCAGCCAAAGAGAGAGAATTGACTGGACTAGAAAAAAATGGGTGAGATGAAAACTCGCTTGAAAAATAAGGCATAGTTCAACATCTCTGTGGCATCTGGTCATTTAAGTAAAAGAAAGTCATTTACACAAAGACTAGGTGACATACTCTACGTCCATGAAGCTTCTGAATATGTAATTTATTTTTGGTCAGCTTACTACGTTTTGCCTTTCAGATGACAGAAATGGAAACCTGGTGTTAGTTAACTAAAGGTTTCTCTTCTCTGGAAGGTATGTAGTAGTTTATTAAAAGGACACCACAAAGCTCTACGGTCTGAAAAGCAGCACCAGACACTTTTCAGAATAACGTTAAATCCAGGGATGGATAACAAATCAGGAGTTGACACTAAAGTTACAGGGCACTACTGACAATGGTCCAAGCCTGAGTGTAAGAATATGGTCAGTTCATTTTACTCAAGTTAACATAAGTAGAAAGCTTCACCTCTCCTTGACTGTAAGGTCGTATTGTTTTAAATGACCAAGCAGCTCACTTATAACCCATCCAATCACTTTCTTTGGATTCATCTGGGTCTCTCTCACCACATCTTCAAAGAACTCCATTAATCCATCTTCATTCTATCAAGAAAACAGAATTTGATGCATCAATGTCAGCAAAGTGAAAAAATTACTATTTTAGTTGTGTTACACATGCATATTCAGTGGGTAGTGTCAGTCCCCAAGGTAAACGATCTGTGCAGTTGGATGACAGTGAACAATCTCCATTATGGGAGAGAATACACACAGCAGAGCTCTCAGCCAGGCTTCAAGCTAAAGGAAATTACATTAAACGTGCAAACTTATTAAGAACCTTTTCCTGACAGTAGTGTAGTACAGGGAGAAGCTGCCTCACTCTGGGCAGGTAGAGAGACCTCATCTGGAATACCTATCCTTCTGGTGCAGTGACTTGTCAGAAACAGCATGCTACGTTTTACTAAGAAAATATTTTTTGAAACCACCTGGAAATACCTCATGCTTGATCCTGCACACATTTGGGACTGCTGGAATAAGATGAGCTTGTTTTTGTCCCTGAGTGATTTGGATAGGTCAGACTGTAAAACCAGGTTTTCATTTTTCTAGTCTTTTTCTAGTCAACTCCTGTGATAAAGGCCTTCAGCATTGGATATGTATTGCATTGGGGGGACAGAGATTCAATTTTAAGCGAACATGAAGTCTGAGATTGTTTTTAGAGAAATAGATATAGCAGGGTCTGATGGATGCTATACTGCTTTATCAGAGAGAGAATGATGGATCAGTAACTGTAGCATGTCACATAGCGGACTTTCCTGAGACTCAGGATATAGCAAAACAGGGATTTTCCCGGGAGCAACCTGAATTCAGTAAGCTAATAACTTTGCGGTGTATAATGAAACATCCACAAACAAAAGTCTGCTCTTAGAAGTTACTAGGAAATAATCTAGCCCATAAAATGAATTCTGATCATGTATTAGAAGAGAGGCAGGGATTTCTTCAGGTGATACCTTTAGAACATGCGACTAAGTGCATTTTCTGAAATGTTTTGCAGATCCACACTGATTTCAGTAAAGTTTCCTGGGGCTGAGGACTTTACGGTAAGTGCCGTCTCTGGTCAGAACCTATTTGCACAATCAGACCCCTGACCTTTTCGTTCCAAATCCAGACATTTCAACCACGGCACTCTCACAAAATTGCTAGGTTTTGTTTTCGTTCCAAAGCAGACCAAAAAACAAAATTTGGGGACCCCCAAAGGATGATGTAAAATGGCACACTCATCCTTCAGTCCTTCCTTCTCTCTTTTGCTGTCGATGCAGTGTTGTTCCTGGAAGCGAGGAGAAAGCTCCAGGCCAACTCCTCTCTTTAATTAACGTTGTTTAGATAATAGTAATTCCACTGAAATCCCCAGAGTTAGAATGCTGTAAAATTGGTGCGAGTGAGAATGTTGAGGCTTTCTCCCTTTACCATGAAAGATGATATGGTTTACTGAAGTGAGCAAAGAACTGGGACATACATACTCACCTTCTCATTCTGGCTCACCCACTGACCCTCTGGCCTCAAACAACTTACTTAACCTTGTTGTCTTTTCATGTCTAATACTTATTTGCTTTTGTTGCTACAATTCTTATAAAACTTAAAACTAGTAATCCCACAGTAATCAAAAAAGGTGAAAACCATCTGTCAGGTAAAAGCACATATCTTCGTGTTGGTATTGGTGTTTGTAACTTCCCCATGCCTTTTAAACAGGTCAACTAGCCAACCATGAGGTCTTAAAAGAAACCAACCCCACGTGGCTTTTCCCTCCACCAGAAACCCAACCACAATTACTATGGGAAGGCTAGAGCTTTTGTTTGCTGAATTGAAAATATAGCTTCAAAAGCACTGAAAAGCCAACACACACATGAACATACACATTAATATAAAGCAGCACAGACAGAACCTCAAAGAAGCATCCTCCCCAATGCAAAGAGGTAATGTGCTGATTAATATTTGTACTGCACTTTGATAACAAAGAACTATGTGCTTGTTAAGTAGACTTATGAAATTGAAGTTATCCCTTAATAAATACTGTAATTTTTAATTCCCCTCAGGAGTCATTATCCCAAGAACAGTGGACTTGATATTCTAAGGCTTAATTTGATGGGTTAACTTCCAGGGCAACACTGTCCATTTAGCTCAGTCTGGAAACAGTGAGCCAGTATTCATGTCCCTTTTTTTATGTGTAGCTACTGCACATTTTTGAAGTGGCAAGAGCAAATATGCATGTAAAAAATGCACACACATGGACAAAAGTAATCAAACCCACACATACTGCTTTTGTGCATTAATATGTATGAATTGTGCCTTTCTGGAAATATGGCTTTACCTGATGAGGAAAGAAACCCAATAATATAATGTCAGTCTGGAATTAGCAAAACAAATCTTGCACTTCCTTTTAACAAAAAAATTTGAGCCAAATTCAAATCTGTGTGAAAGGAATGGAAAATTTTCCTTATTAAAAGACAGGGAAAAATATCAGGAACAATGAGACTGGGAAGACTTGATCAGCCTTCATTTTTCATACAGTCTTGCCTACCCTACTGCTGCAAATGACTTTGGATTTGTTGTGCAATTTGGTCAACTTTTCTCAAGCCAAATGAATTTCAGACAGTATGCCAATGTCATCCTATGACTTACAGTGGGAATATTTATCTCGGGTAGAATGTGTCAGCCTAGGGAATGTCTCAGGCACAGAGGTCCAATATTAAGCTGTGTTGCCTTTGATACAAAATCCAGTGTGTAACCTTTGCCAAATATCTTTGCTCTTATCCTTACTTATTAAGAGTCAACTTTCACCACCACTTCCAATTTTCCAACCACATCAATTAGGTCCTTTTGCTCTGCATTTCTAGCCACTCAAAAAAGTCTGTGAGAATTGAGAGAAGAGGACCAAAGTTCCCAGATGCAGAAGCTTAACTATTAAAATTAAAGTGACAATGCCCTACAAATTAACAGAAAATTCTTCATATGCTTAAGGCTAAAAAACCGAAGATGCAGTTCAGATTCAGTGGATTCCTCGTATTGGAATCACTTTGGGAAATGGTGATTTGATTCTATTAACTGGCTGATTCCATTAAAAGGAGACCTGCTTTTTTTTAAGAACACATACTCACTCCTCCCCCACGGTGCCCTGGGCCTGCTCGTACCTCTCACTCCCCCCT